ACCATTTCGGCGACATCCCGAACACGACGTGTTTCGGCGATTTGGTTGAAGATCTCGACACGTTCTCCCTTTTCGGGGGGGTTGTTGATGGCAATCTCAATGCATCGGGCGGTATCGGTGATGTGGATGAAGGCACGAGTTTGACCTCCAGTTCCGTAAACAGTCAATGGAACCCCCATGGCTCCTTGCATGAGGAATCGGTTCAAGACAGTTCCGTAATCTCCGTCGTAGTCGAATCGGTTGACAAGACGTTCGTCCAAGATGGTTTGAGGAGTGTTGGTTCCCCAGACAATACCTTGATGCAAGTCAGTAATTCGGAGTTGATCGTTCTTTTGGTAGAATTGCCACAAGATAGCATCAAGACACTTGGTGGCGTGGTAGACAGATCCAGGGTAGGCGGGGTGCAAGATGTTGGATTCGCGTCCTCCTGGAAGGGTGACATCAATGTATCCTTCAGGGATTTCGCCTCCAGAAGTTCCGTATCCGTAGACACCCATGGTTCCCAAGTGAACAATGTGGACATCCAAGTCGGCATCAATTACGGCACAGCACAAGTTGTTGGATCCAGAAACGTTATTGTCGACAGTGTATCTCTTTCCCTTGGAGTCCTTCATGGAGTAAGGGGCAGCACGTTGTTCCGCAAAGTGAACAATGGAGTCTGGCTGTTCTTCCTTGATAAGTTGGACCAACAGGTCGTAATCCTTGGCAACATCCAAGTTGATGAATTTCATTTCCTTGCCGCTGACCTCCTTCCACGCATCAACACGGGTCTACAGTGGATTTTGAAATGACATGTGTAAGGCAGAAACGAATTGGTGAGGAAAGGGTAATGCATGATGATGCATAATGACAAAGGCTTGATGGTCGTTTCGGTTTCAGTTTCAGTTTCAGCTTCAGTTTCAGATCAAGCAGCCAGCTGTTCTGAGATTTTTCTGCAACCCACCCATCAATTTTCAGAAATCTACCGTATAGAAAGACGTCAAAAACTCACCTCCATGCTGCTAATGGGAGTCAAAGAGTCGCATCCAAGATCGAGGTCAATCTTTCTTCGGGAAAGGTTGTCGACAATAACAACATCGTGTCCTTGGTCACTCAAGTACAACGATGTTGGCCATCCACAAAAGCCATCACCTCCCAAAACGATAACCTTCTTCTTTTCAGCTGTGCTGGCTCCGTTGGTTTCGGCATTCAATGCGAACAAATCGAAACGGGGAGTCTGCTGTGGGGCATGTGGGGCTGTGAATGCTGCCACAGTGGGCAAGACGGCAATGACAAAGCTGATCACTCTCATGTTGATGGGATAGAAAATGCTGCTGCAGTTCGAGTTCGAGTTCGAGTTTAATTTCGAGTCTACCGTACGTGGTCTGCAACAAGCGGTTGATGGGGAGTGCCTCCAAGCTACCGCGGTATCCGGAGTATTCAATTTGACCAATCGGGATGCAGACCACTGATGTCATAGAAAGCGGCCTACACGGCCAAAGTACTAGGTTTTGCAGTAGATTCAGTGCAGATTCAACGTGGAAATCAAAAAAATGACAAGTGATGTGATGGGGAAGTACGTCATACTGCCTGTCCTTCTTCAGGTTTTGTGCGGTCTGCATTTTATTCCCGTCTTCTTTCATTCACGAAACACGAGCTTTTTCACATCAACCCGTTACGTCACAAAGAGAAAACCAACAATAAAACAAAAAGTGTTACTTTCTTGTCATTGACATGACTTCACTGAAGCTATATACATCACTGCTAGTGCTGATATCAGTCCCCTCCGTTTTTGGATCTACTGCTGGCGAATCCGTTCCTCCGAATCCCAACCCATCGTTCCATCATCAACATAATTCCGCCTATGAACCGCACCAGCTGTCAGATTCCGTTCCAAAATTCTTAAACGATCTGTCGCAACTTGCCCTGCTAGAAAAGGATCAAGCAATTTTACAATACACAGAGAGCAATCGAGATAACTCGTTCACCAAGAATTGGAAGGCTCCTGATTGGGAAAGACATCAAGTACGATCTTTCTTTCGCTACAAACGACACCTGTATACCTGGTTCAATTCGACGACTGCCAAGGCAGTATGGCCCACCGTCATCTCATTGACTTGTTGGTCTCTACTCATTCAACTATTGGCATATAAATTCGAGTCTTTGAATAATTTTTTGAGCGAACCGGCAATTGCCAAGGGTGCGGCTTCCTTTGGAGGACCCATTTCACTCTTGCTCGCATTGCGCACGAATCGGTCGTTGAATCGTCTCATGGAGGCTAGAAGTATGTTTGGAAAGTACATTAGAGCTAGTACTTCGCTAATGAATTTGATTGCAACCTATGTCAGTCCCATCGATAAGGAACGGGCGATTCTGCTTGGAAGATACCTGTCGATTTATGGATGGTGCACAAAGGGTTTCTTCCGAAATGAGCCTGATGGAGCACTGATCCAAACCATGTTGCCTCCCAAAGAAGCGGAATGGCTGCGGAGACAGACGACAAGTCACAATCTGGATGCTCCCACTTGCATTCACGTACGAATCCGATCTTTGCTAGCTCCCATAGTGTCGGAGATTCCGCTGTCAGCCGGAAATGCCATGGAAGATCGTCTCAGCACGCTGGAAAGTTCCTTGGGAGTCAACAAACGGCTGCTGGGGTCACCCATCCCTCCCACCTACACTCGGCATACCTCTCGTGTACTTTGTCTCTACTTGGGATTGATCCCTTTTTCACTTGTCGGGTCCAACACTGGACCAGTGAGTGTTACCTTTATTCTTTCCATTCTGCTCGTCATTGGTGCTACAGCATACGTGCTGGTTGGAATTGATGAGATTGGAGTCGAAATTGAAAATCCATTCCCGCTGATCCCCATGCAGGCCTTGTCGAAGGTTATACAAAACAACATTGCCAGCCAAGTTCGGTTGATCGATGACATGCCTGCACCTTGAAAAATTGTCACAGAAAAGTGAAGGAGAAATGCTAGCACAAAAGCAAAATTTGCTTTATGAAAATTGTTAGGCTAATCTTGGGTATTAGCTAGCACTTGACCTACCTACACGACAAGGTATCATGTTTGCGCTTTTGAATGCTTGAACTCCTCCAGTGCATCACTGGTTACATCCCATAGGAGCTTGCAGACGTACATTTGCCCTTCAGTCATATCACGGGGCAACTTGTCAGGATGCAAAAAGAAACGAATCTTTCGCACGGCTTTCTTCAGCTTGTCGGTATCCAACGTTGGCAATAGACTGTCTGCACCATAACAGAGAAAATCGTTGGGAGCGAGAACCTTCCATCCATCAAAGTAGGAGTGTGCTGGAACTCCAGCAAATGGTGGGAAGACTGTCTGGATGGACACAACCAGCTGGTCGACTCGCTTTAGCATCTGGTAACCAGGTGGTTGCAGTCCCCATTGGATCAAGATCTGTTTCTTGACTTCGGAGATTTCCAGACCAGGCGGATCTTCCATGGTTTCTGTAGTAGCTACTGAGTCAGGCATTGAAGATGTTGAACTAAACGCGTCATCCCAAGAAGGCTGCGTTGCATGGTGTGGTTGTGGTGGTGTGTCAAAGGGCGGTCGATTCCTCAGCTGATTTGGATGGGACTTTTGCTGAGGTTGCTGCTGTCCAGGAGCAGATACTGGAGGGTGCGGGCTCGGAATAGGGGATTCAAGCTGCGACGAGTGCGCGGAAGTTGTTTCAAGTGGAGTTGCTGGACTCGCAGATCCTTGCCCTGTTTCGTTTGGAGTAGTGCCAGTAGGAGTAGTAATTCGCTCGAGGTTCGCATGAGCAATAGGAACTTCTGGTTCATCTGATTCCGTGCTAGTCTTTCCTCCGATCTTATCAAGTTCTGACATAGCGTCGTCTTCGATCCTTTGCTCTTGCTTCGAGTGTGATGCAGCCTTGTTTTCTGCAGCCTTCTGCAATGCTTCCGCTTTCAGTTGTTCTTTTCTTCTTTCCATTTCTAAGAATTGGCGTTTTCGTTCTTCTTCCTTCTTTTTTTGTTCAAGAGCAGCTTTACGGCGCTGTTCTATGACTTGTTGTCGTCGTCTTTCGGCAGCAGCACGTTTTTGCTGCTCCAAGGCTGACAGCTTTTGGCTTGCGACTTTGTTTTCCGCGGCAGTCGCCTGTGCCTTACTAGCCGCAGCAGAATTTTTCTGTTGCGTGTGTCGCTGATGTTGCTGCTGCATAATCTTATTTTGTTTCATCGCTTGTTCTCGATTCTGTTGAAGCTTCAGAATTTGTGCTTGCAGTTGTTTGGATTGTGAGTCAGCATATTCATGGAGCTTATTCGACGTTTGATAAATAATTGGTGCGTATTCATCAGATTCCTCGAGATGTTTAATGCAGCTCTTCATCAATGCAATAAGTTGAAACTTTGTCGTCTTTGACGCTGATACTGGGGTCGGGGATGCCGTCATGGTGGCCATGACAATGTGTATATTGTGCCAGACTCGACTCAAATATATCGCAGGCGGTGCTGCGTCTGATGTTTTGAAAATCTGCGAATTCTTCGAATTCAAATCCCGCATAGATCGGTTGAATCGTTTGAAATCATTGCTGGACTAGCTCGATTCCGTCGAATCTTCAGTCGCACTCTCCTCTTTGCTATTACACGTGTACCTAATAATACAGTATCATCATTGGATGTTCTGACCAACATACAAGCTCTATTTTACTCTTCATTGTTTCTCTAGTTTCGCAGTCCTGCATCTCTATTGTTCATTTTCGACACTCTACGTCGATAGAACTTCGTCTTCGTATTCATATTCTATTTCGACTTCGAAGGCTGCATGGCTATCAACATCATCGTCCTCCACGACACCGTCTTGTATAATTCTACTTCTCGTTCTGACTTGTCGTCTCCTCTTTCTCCATAGGCCCGCTACCAATAAGGCACCAGCAGCACAGGATGCTCCGATGATTGTGTTGCGAGTGCCATCTCCTTGTTGATCCTCGTTGTTGGCTGCGGCTGAAGTTACTTGTTCTTCATTATTGTCAAGGTCAATGCCGTCAACAGTGATCTCATCTTGATCTTGTCCTTGCTCTTGTCCTTGCTCCTGTTCTTGTCCTGGTGACCCACTTGGTATACTGCCAACAGGGCCGCTATCTTGTTCAGTGCCAATATGTCCGTTCGCGAAAATGTCGTACTCGCACTCGGTCTTGATTTCATTGAACGACCATTCATAGTATACGATATCCCTACTGTAGTGGTCAGCATTCCATTCAAGTCGGTCACAGGCGCCGGCGGCAAAGTCTTCGGGGCATGTCTTTGACTCCAAACTCGGTGTTGCCAACACTCTAACTTGACCTTCGTTCAGCCAACATCTCGCACTGTACAGGCTATATGCTTTCGGTGCAGTCTTGTGTAAATGTCCATGACTGAACCATGCGGCTCTCTCACTCTCACAATCAACAAGGGAAACGTCTTTATTGCAGATAGCACAGTCTTCGGGATCAGCAATGCATTTGTTGTTCAAAACGTTCCGTATTTGAAAGAATCCTTTGAGTTCTCTGTGTTTCCCGCAAGAGTAGTTCAGCTCCCAAGCTTTATGGTTTCCACCAGTCCTACAGTCCGCCAGTTCCACACGGTTTTGTATTGTGTCGTGCGTGAGGCACCTATTCGGACAATCTGCCATTGCGAATTGGTATCCACCAACATAAACGCCCTCCCCTTGCACCATCCCAATGGCCAGAGACAACAGAAGCGCAACGAATGTCACCGCCATATTGTGCTGCCTAGTACCA